TAAGCCGGCCTGCGAGCCGGCCAAAGTTGTCTTGTTCCTGATCGAATAAAGTACGCTTTGCTGAAATCACTCTCCGTCTGCGTACTTTTCATACAGCCTTTGGGTTTTCCCTCATACCGAGACTACTGCAAGCATAAATGGCTTTTAGAAGCAGTCTACAGTGGCTTGTCCTAATAATTCCCAGGAAATTCAGCCTGAGGAGGGCTCTGAGAAAGCACCATTAACATAGCTTTTGACAGTCACTTTTGAAAGCCATTTCCATTTTGACTTTCTTTTGTGCACGCCTGTCCCCTCAGACGTCTCCTCCATCCCCCCAAAGAACATTTCTTACCCGCATGAACATTGCTGTGTTGGGCTAATGAGGCTCTCAGTCCAAATGTTTTCCCGCAGACGTCACACTTGTACGGCTTGGCTCCCATGTGGCAGCGCTTGTGGCATTTCAAGTATTCATTGGTGGCAAAATGTTTCCCACACACATCACATTTAAAGAGACGCTCGCCTGCAAAGGAAATGAAGAAACTGTTTCTATTAGCCATCAGCCACAGGAGATTTCTCAAAAGAATCCAGGGAGCTTTTCCCTCCATTTATAGCCCCCAGACTCTCTTATGCATACTTTAATCATATTCTCCTTTTGAGGTATACATTCCTTCATTCACTGTTTTTATAATTACATGTCTTTTTCTTTGCTAACAGGATGTAAGCGCCCTGTGCAAAAATTAGTATGAAGTGGGGGAGATGACCCCAACTTTCATTTCTGCAGATTTGAGAGCCCATTTGCACAGGAACTTACATGCATGTGTACATACACACGTCAGCTTCCTATGCTTGATCCACTGCTACCACCAGCCCAATTTTTGCAAGGTGTACGTAATGTGTTCAGACCTTATGCACAATTCAATAGAGCTGCAACCCACTAAAACTGAAAAAAAACCCAAAAGATGACAAAAATGCATATAAGTAAATCTATTCTTAAAAAGCAATAGGACAAAAACCTTAATAAGTAACAATGTTACAAAGTCCATAAAATAAATATATAAAACACTCATGAGAGAATAAAACAATGGCACAAATACATTTGAACAGTGCGCCTCGCCTTGTTTCACAGAAATCTGTGCTGTTTGAACTGTTTTTGTCATATTTTGCAATCTGCCTTTAGTCTCACTGAGTAAAATCATGAGTATAAATAATTAACAAATCGACAGTGTCTCAGGCAGGGGCCCGTTTTCAATGACTGTACCATATTTAAGAAAGTCGCTGCTTCAAGGTGGCATAGAGCTAGGACTTTCTGCCACCCAACGGAGCAGAAATTGCATACCTGCCGTGATCTTTTGCAACTACATTTCTATCTACACAACTGGGCATCTGAATGTATTGCCCTCTGCCACTTCAAGGAATGGCATTAAAACTCCTACCTGTATGCGTCCTCTTGTGACCATTCAGCTTGCCTTTGTCCGCAAAACACGCTCCACAGTCCTCACAAACGTATGGCTTCTCCCCTGTATGGGACCTAAGTTCAGAGGAACAGGAAAATGTTTTAAAAAGCAACTGAATGTGCATTGTCCCCCCCCCCAATAGCTAGCAATCCAAAAGAGTCCAGTGGAGCCTGAGTGGTGGGTGTTGCCTTCTGACACACTTCCCGTGATGCCAGGGTGTGTGGCATACGCAAATAAGTTATGCTAATGAGTTATGCTAATGAGCTCCTGCATCTCTTTTTCTACTAAATGACCCCTGCCTGCCATGATCTTTTGCAACTACATTTCTACACAACTGGGCATCTGAATGCATTGCCCTCTGCCACTTCAAAGAATGGCGTTAAAACTCCTACCTGTATGCGTCCTCTTGTGACCATTCAGCTTGCCTTTGTCCGCAAAACACGCTCCACAGTCCTCACAAACGTATGGCTTCTCCCCTGTATGGGACCTAAGTTCAGAGGAACAGGAAAATGTTTTAAAAAGCAACTGAATGTGCATTCACGCTGAAATTTTCTACTCCATGAATGTTACAGAGAGATTAAACCCACCCAGCCGGTGAGAAACCAACGTCTGCAAGGAAATGAGACTTCACATTCACAATACCTCCGTCTGGGGATTCGGAAGAGATGGCCTCCATTTAGATTTGCAGTTCCCTTTGCGGCCAAGGCTGAGAAGTAGAGCCGTGTGAGAAGCTGTGCAGAGTCAAAGGCTGAAATGGAACTTGAGCGGAGCCACAAGCTCAAACCTGTTCACCAGAGTCCACACGTGATAACACGTGCCTTCAGGCCTTTGTTTTTACCACTACGAATGAGGGATTTATATCACTGGCACAAGCCTTAAGCTTCTAGACCTCAACAAGGACTTCACCTCTCTCCTTGGACCAGACTACCTGTACTGCCAGTTTTGACCTTGTCCTCTGAACATCCCTGAAGTGAAACCCAGCATTCACAAAGCAAAGCCGAAAATTCTTACAGAGATACCTGAGTGAAACATCCTCTCACATCGCACCACAGACTCTATGCCCGTGTTCCCTCTAGGCTGAGTTAGTGTGAGCTAGCTCACAGTGTTTAAGCCCCCAGCTCACAAATTTTTGTCTCAGCTCAGGAAGGATGGCTCCCGAGCAAACTAATTTATGCAGGAGCCCAATCGCTCGCTCACAACTTTAATGCCCGTAGCTCACAAAGTAGAATTTTTGCTTACAAGACTCCACAGCTTAGCGGGAGCAACTGCTCTATGCATGTACAAATTCAGGCCTGCTGGGGTCCTGTTCCTCCATCTTAGTTAGGTACGGGCCAAGGCCCGCTTTGTCTGTGCTTAAGGTCACAGGGAACAGATGAATGCTTTTCTTGCAAAGTGATCGTGGTGCTCCAGTACATAACGCATCATCACCACCACCGTTATTCTGAATTGTCCAATCCCTGTGTACACGGGGCTCTGGGAGATTTACAACAGGTTAAAATTTTTTCAAAAATCTCTATTAAAAATCAGCAGATCAGTTATGCTTAATTAGATGGTCTCCAGATGGCATCCATAATTTAATCTAAAACCTACTCTGGACTGTTCTTCTATCTCGTGGGCAGGTTAAGGAGGAGGCCAAAGCGAGCAGAACAGGAGAAAGGACGGGCAATTCTTAAATAAAGACTGACAATTCTTTTTAATACTGGAACCAAACACATTCCAATTCCCTCACCATCCAAACAGTTCTGAGGGTGGATGCCTGCCCACCCCCACCCCCCTAAAAAAGTTTCTCACACACAGATCGCCCTTGCTCACCATATCTCCATTTTACCATTCGGTTGCTATTCACTGCTTGCAAACAGGGCTATTTTGGGGCAGGAACGCACAGGAACGGAGTTCCGGCTGGCTCCCAAGTTGGCCACGGCCAACAGGAACTCATTAGCATAAGAGGCCACCCCCAACAGCAGAAACTCATTAGGATTGGCTACAATTAGGGGTGTGTGGCCTAACATGCAAAGGAGTTCCTGCTCCCAAAAAAAGCCCTGGGTTTTGTCAACAAACAAGGTAAAGAGAGTAAGAAGCAAAAGGTGGGTGTGACTGGGTGACCACACTTCTGGTAACACGGGGGTGTGGCCTAATATGTCAATGAGCTTTGCTGTCAGGGGTGTGGCCTAATATGCTAATTAGTTCCTGCTGTTGGGTATGGCCTATTATGCTAATGAGTTCCTGCTGGGCTTTTTCTACAAAAAAAGCCCTGCTTGCAAAGAAGTACCCGAAGTAAGAGACACATGTAGAATGCACGGAAGAGGAGAGGGGGAAAGAAGCCACACAGGCTGACCTGGTATGAATCTTCAGCTGTGACGGCTGGGCAAACCGTGAGCAGCAAACGCCACACTGGTACGGCTTCTCCCCGGTGTGGGTTCTCATATGAAATACCAGCGCCGTCCTCGAACTCAAGATCTTCCCGCAGACAGAGCACAGGGGACGCTTCACGCGCCCTTCGTGCTTCCGCATGTAGTGCGTCCTCACGTCCCTCTTCCTTTTGAAGGTGGCGTCGCAGAGCGTGCAGGCAAACTGCCTGTCTTCCGTATGGACGCACGCTCGGTGCTCCTTCCAGCTGTTGTAGCTGGCAAAGGACTTGCCGCAAACGTCACACTGATACGCTTTCCCCGGCAGAGCGTGATGGACGTCTTTGCAATGGTCGACGTATTTCTTACGCGACACAAATTTCTCAGCACATTCGTGGCACGTGATGACATAGGCCGATCCCTTTGCTACCTTCTTTTTATTCCCTGTCCTCCCTTTGCGCTTGTCACCCAGTTCATTTTCTTCTTCTGCACGGTGGCCGTTGAAGCAGTCGTCATCGTCATCATCTAAAGAGAGAGACTCGTGATCCCTGTCGTCGTGTACTCCCGCTTCACGATATCCTCCCTCTTCTCCTTCGACAGCCATCGAGACGTTTCCCCTTTCGACGCCAGATTCATCACACTGCTCCTGCCCGTCTTCTCGATCACCAGACTTTGCTTCTGTAGCAGAACGCCTTGATTCCTTCTCAAGCCCCCATGCTTTCTCACCTGTGGATTCTCTTTGCAGGTCCGTGTTTGGTGCTGCAATGCATTCTTTGTTAGGGTTATCAAATTTACCATCTGCCACGTCCAGTCTGTCTGCTGGGGGCACCCCCATCCAGCAACCGGGCAGGAGTTTATGGTCTTGCCCAGATTCATGTATTTTTCTGTTGGGTGGGGAAAGTAATAATACATATACTTCAGTTAGGTACAGTTCTTCAGAATGCCCAAATCACATATGCAATCTATCTCACGGCAAAAGTATTTCCCTGGAAGAAAACACATCCTGAGGACTGACAGACTTCAGTATCCCTGAGAGTTTCAGAATCTTGGCTTAAAAAGCAGCAAATGCAAGATGTACATGGCTGCTAGCAATTCAGGCAGGGCTATTTTTGGGCAGGAACGCACAGGAACGGAGTTCCGGCTGGCTCCTGAGTTGGCCACGCCCAGCAGGAACTCATTAGCATAATAGGCCGCACCCAACAGCAGAAACTCATTAGGATTGGCTACATTAGGGGTGTGTGGCCTAACATGCAAAGGAGTTCCTGCCACAAGAAAAGCCCTGGGTTTGGACAACAGGCAGGAGTTTAGGGTCTTGCCCAGATTCATGTATTTTTCTGTTGGGTGGGGGGAAAAGTAATAATACATATACTTCAGTTAGGTACAGTTCTTCAGAATGCCCAAATCACATATGCAATCTATCTCACGGCAAAAGTATTTCCCTGGAAGAAAACACATCCTGAGGACTGACAGACTTCAGTATCCCTGAGAGTTTCAGAATCTTGGCTTAAAAAGCAGCAAATGCAAGATGCTATGGAGATGCACATGGCTGCTAGCAATTCAGGGAATGCATTGCTTTGAAAGCGGTCTGCCAGAGCTGGATGGGAAGCGAGCAAGAGAGGAGAACACAACACTACTGTGATGGGGGGCAGACATTACTGGCCCAGTATCAGACAATCCACCCAGAGTAGTAGACTACGTCTTTGGAAATCCCAGTCCCGGCTGTGAGAGGACAGAGCAGCTGACAGTAGGCTCAGAGCAACCGAGGAAATGAGATGGAACCAAAAAAGGCAACCTTGTTCAACGAGGCCAATCCATATTGTGTGGGACGGCTGAGTCTGCAGGTGTTTGGGTAAGCATTTGGTGCAAGGAAGAGAACCCGACAGAAATAATAGTTGTCCTTTATATAGGGAAAGGAGCTGCGGTGGCTCAAGTGGTTAAGATGCTGAACTGCAGGCTGTGGAAGGTCAGTAGTTCAGCAGTTCGAGACCCGAGTGTGCCGCATGACGGAGTGAGCTCCCGTCTCTAGTTCCAGCTCCTGCCAACCTAGCAGTTCGAAAGCAAGAAATTGCAAGTAGATAAATAGGGACCACTTCGGTGGGAAGGTAACAGCGTTCCGTGCGCCTTGGCGTTTAGTCATGCCGGCCACATGACCACGGAAACGTCTTCGGACAGCGCTGGCTCTTCGGCTTTGAAACGGACATGAGCACCGCAACCCTAGAGTCAGACTCGACTGGCTTTCGAGCAAGGGAACCTTTACCTTTTACCTTTATACCAGAGGTATACCAGAGCAAGCTTTCCTTCAACAGCTTTGTGTTGTCATAGATGGGAAAATCGAAAGTGAGCACACACGACTATTGCTCTTTCATCTAGAGGCAATAATCTAATTAGATTCACTATAAGAAGCTTGGTAAGTATATTTTAAAGGCTCTGTTGTAATTCAGGCTCACAAATGTCATGGTTGTAATTAGCTAATGATCCCAGGTATGCATATGTTAAGCAGTCGCAAAATGCACTGCATTGCAATGGCCTGTGGTTTTCAGCAAACAAGCCGAGTAGAAATAATGGCCTTTGTCAGCTTTACGTCTAAGCAATTTATTAATTGGTACAATTACCTGTTGTTCATTCGCTTCATCTCTTTTAAGTATTTAGCTGTTATATTGTATGAGAGGCTATTTAATAAATTAAATGGATGTTGGCTACCAGTTAGAATTTATTCTAGAAACAAATACCAGCTTCTTAGTTTCATCCATTCCGCAATTGCTATGTAATATTTTGATTTAATTTGATCACTGGATCAAGTCAGCTAACGGAGTTCTGGTTTAAGCATCAACACCAATTGTACATCCAGGTGGAAAAGGTAACATTTAGACAAGCATAGCAGGCTTGAACGGAAAACCCAGCCAACTGGAAATCACAGCCTACGTTCAAAATTACAAAAGTAATCCCTGATTCTTTTTACTACTTGCTGATTCTTGTTGTTAACTTATTTATTCTCAGATCCAGGTAGGATTGTGCATGCGTACAGGGGGCGGTGGGGAGGGGGAGAGAGTCTAAGTAAGAAAATAAAAGATGGTTGGTCCAACAGAAGAAAATAACAACTGTTTTCTGGGACCAATAGACAAGAATTCTGTAAACTGAAAAAAAAACAACCACCCTACGTTCAAGAAACTGCCCCCAGAATTTAAATGATTTCTTTAATCAGCTTTTTCAGCAAGATCTAATTTGGTATTAAAATCCTAAAATGTTCTGCTAGCCCCTAAGACAGAAAAAAATCTCGGACATCGGAGAACTGGGAATGTTGAAAACCTGTCTCCCAAGACTCCGGAATACACAATGGAAAAGACCGTACCTGACATGAGTATTAAACGTCGACCTCTGAGCAAAGCTGGCCGGGCAGCCTCCACATTTATAAGGCTTCTCTCCTGTGTGTGTCCGAATGTGAACCGTCAGGCCACATTTGGAGCTGATAACCTTGTCACAGTAGGGGCACCGCTGAGGATTATGCTTCTTTTCGTGCACTCTCCGGACGTGGTCATTGACATCTTTCTGGCACTGAAATTTTTTGTCGCACAGCAGGCAGGGGAAGCGTCGCTCGTCATCGTGAGTGGCGAGCCGGTGCTGTTTCAGGTTTTGGCGGCTGGCAAAGCGCTGGCCACACACACGGCAGCTGTGCTTAACGGCTAGATTCAGGCCGTGCTCCAGTTCCATGTGCGACTGGTACTGCTTGGCGAAGCGGAAGGAGCGGTCACACGTGTCACACGTGTGCGGTTGTGGCAGGACTTTGGACATGCCACGTGGCAATTTTCTAAGCTTGGTGCCACTCAGAATCAAACTGCTCTCACCCTCCTTCTGGCCGGGAAGCATCTTGGTCGTTACGTAGGTTGAGTCCACCTGATTTAGAGGTTCACCTTCTTCTTGGGCGACGTTGCCTGCATCGAGAGCATCGGGTCTCTCTCCTTTGTAGTGTCCGGGTGACACCGCTTTTTTATCTTCAGGCTCACCAAGAGTTATCCCATCTTTGTTCAACTGTCCACATTTACTTTCAGGGAAGTCATAGCTAGTTGACACTTTTACACAGTTCTTTCTGTCCCAAAGGTTTCTCTTCATTGGTGAGGCCAAAATTTGGGACGAATCACTCTGTTCCTGGTCTCCTTCCTGCTCAGCCGGGCTCCACAGAGACTTTTCAGGTCTTCTTAAATGAACACTCAAATCCGACTCCTTTGGGCCCCCAGCCCTCGTTTCTTCCAAGGCATCAAGCAGATCCTTGCATTCCAGTCTTTTGGCCACTGCCTTCAAGCGGTGCACTTTGTCCACTTCAATTTCTACTTCGGTCGTGTAGACAAACTTTAGGAAGGTGACGAATTCTTCAGTGCGAATGTCCTGGAGTGTCACGCTACAGTTCTTGGCATTCAATGTCTCCTCGCTAAGGAACAAGCTTTTAAAGTAGTTGCTGGAAGCTGCCAGGACAGCTTTGTGAACGAAAAAGTCCTCTTGGCTTCCAGGACAGTCTGTGCGAATGGTCACGTCACAGAAGTGACCAAGCTGATAGAGAGAATGGAGCGCTCGCAGAAGATTAGCAGCGGCAACACCGGAATTCATGGTGATTTTTTCCTTCTCCATCCTTAATTTTGACAAGGATTACAAAAGAGAGTGCATCAGAAAACTTTTAACAGAGTGCCTAAGACCACTCATTCAAAACAATCACACCAGTAACTACCTTCTTGTACCAGTCACATTTTATGAATTCGAAGGACTCTATAATCTGTGTTGCTGAAGATAAGAGTTAAACTGGCAGACTTGTTTCATATTCCAGTTTAGTCGGTAGCCTTGAGTAGACCTCTATATTTCAGCCCCTGCTTTGGGGTTAGCTAGTTTTACTTTTAACAGTGCACTCCTATGCAAGACATACTCCAACTCAAGCCCATTCATTCCAGTCACTTTAGACTAGAATAACTCATTATCAATTGCAGTGTAAACCTCTGCAAAACTGAGAGGACACTGGCCTCAAAACCATAACAAACAGGGAAATGTGAAGACTATCTGTGTATATTTAACATAGCTAAAATGTATTGAGGGGGGCAGTAGATAATTTCAAAAAAGTGACCCAAAGAGGTTTACACCATTCTTCATTTTATCCTCACAACAACCCTGTGAGGTAGGCCAGGCTGAGAGTGTCTAAATGGTCAACCAGTGAGCTTCCAACTGGAAAAAAAATGGGTTTTTTTCCAAGCTTCAAAATTTCCAGAAATTTTACATCTCTATTTATACCCCACCCTTCACTACCCAAAGGAGTCTCAGAGCGGCTTACCAATCCCCTTTCCCTTCCCCTCCCCACAACAGACACCCTGTGAGGTAGGTGGGGCTGAGAGAGCTCTTTCGAGCACTGCTCTTGAGAGAACAGCTATGAGAGAACTTGTGACTGACCCAAGGTCACACCAGCAGCTGCACATGGAGGAGTGGGGAATCAAACCCGATTCTCCCACATTAGAGTCCGCGCTCCTAACCACTACACCAGGCTGGCTCTTAGAATGCTGGACCAGGACTGTGGATCTCTACTTGTTATTAAGCTCATGGAGTAGCCTCGACCCAGTCTCTCTCTCTCTCTCTCTCAGACTAACCTACCTCATAGGGCTCTTGTAAGAATAAAATGAAAGAGAGGAGATCTGTGCATGTCTTCCTTTGAAGGAAGGACAAAATTAACTTCATGAATACATTCAGGTTTGTGTAGACATTTATATTTATTTTAAAAATATCTATACCCCACCTTTCCTCTTGACAGCGTTTGTAGGTTTCAATGCTGCTCCATGGAAAAGGTCCCCATACTAAAGGATGGCAGCACGCCAAGGAAATAGATAGCCTATAGCTCTTCTTCCTGACCTACTAACTTTCTGCATGCAAGAAGGTGTTTTTTTATTTTGCAGACAATCGTTCAAATACATCAGTCTCAAACTTGTGGCTGGAAGTGATATAGGCCAGGAAAAGCTCAATCCCTGCTGAATATACTGACTGCACTTTGGAAAAGGGATGGAAACAATTTTACCGGCTAAATTCCCCATATTTACTCTTGTAGGGGGGCATGAGGAAAGCACCTTCCTTCCTAGGAAAGGCTAAAGAGGCTTTCTGTAGAAAGTGGGGGCGTGACAGAAATCTATAATAAAATCATGCCTGGGTTGGACAAAAGCAGCCAGAGAAGTTTCTCCCAGACATGGCTGGGGGCTGCTCAATGAAACTGACTTGCGGACCATGCAAGAGAGGCAAAAGAAAGTCCTTCCACCCGGGGCACAGTTAACGTGTAGGAATCTGCTGCTACAAGATGTAGTTATGGCCCCGGCCATAATTCTACCAATAAAATGTTAATGGGAAAAAAGGGGGGCGGGTGTGTGTGAGACCAAGCCCTGGTGAGGTCTGTCAATGCCTATTAGCCCCAGGGGCTAATGGAACCTCCACGTTCAGAGGCAGTATACCCCCAACCTCTAGCTCCTGGTTAGAAGGCAAACCAAGGAGGAAGGCTGCTGGATTCCTAAAGGCACCTGGCTAGTAACCACTGTTGGAAAAAGGACTGGTGGACTGAACGCTCCCCCTTTCTTTCGTCTACCCCTGCAGGGCTCCGCTTACCTTCTCCGTTTTGACGTCCGAGGGGTTGTATTGGCAACGAGGCACCTGCGAGATTCGGCCGCCGGCCGACGTCACAGCCCCGGCGAGCTCACCTGCCGTCCGCTTTCCCACGCCTCCTCAGCTACGTCACGGAGACACCCCGCCCACCCCAGCATCCGAAGAGAAGTGTTGAAATGACCCTTGGAGGCCACCGTAGCATCGAAAATAGCCGGGGAACTGCCGGTCGGTTGTTCGGCTACCTTTCTCGTGGGAAACGACGACCTCGGCAGCCGTCGGGGAAGGCTGTAGGAGCCATCTTTAAGAATGGCAAAGAGGGGCGAACGCTTGTGGCCGGTTCCGTGTTATGCTTTAAAGCGCGGTCGCCACCTGGTGGGCGAGGCGGGGAAGATTTCTATTCAGTTTCTGAATTAAACAATAGCCTAGATCGGCGCTTTAAATAATGATATTTTATTTCGGACTATTTGGGCTCCAGTCCACCCAAACTTAGGCTGGAATTAACACTTTGTTAATTTTTAAAGTGCCACCAGACTCCACCCTCCCCAACACAGCCGCTCCTCCTCTCGAATTGTGGCACCTTAGAAGCTAAGAGATCTATTGTGATGACTTAAGCTTTCGTGCCACGTGGGGTTGGCAACATCAGCCTGGGAAATATACCCGAAGAGCTGGTGGGTGGAGGTCGGAGAGGGTGTGGTTTGGAGAATGGAGGGACCTCAGCAGGCTATAATTCCATAGAATCCACCCTCCGAAGCAGCCATCTTCTCCTTGGGAACTGATCTCTGTGATCTGGAGCTCAGCTGTAATCTTGGGAGATCTCGAGGTGCCACTTGGATGCTAGCTGTATCCCTTTCTGTATTCTGGTTTCAAGGGTTGGGACGGTTCTGGTTTTTTGTGCATACCGGAGGGCAGGGGTCTTGTTGTAGAAAAAGAGCTGCCGGAGCTCATTAGCAAAGAGCTGGTGGGTGGAGGTCGGAGAGGGTGTGGTTTGGAGAATGGAGGGACCTCAGCAGGCTATAATTCCATAGAATCCACCCTCCGAAGCAGCCATCTTCTCCTTGGGAACTGATCTCTGTGATCTGGAGCTCAGCTGTAATCTTGGGAGATCTCGAGGTGCCACTTGGATGTTAGCTGTATCCCTTTCTGTATTCTGGTTTCAAGGGTTGGGACGGTTCTGGTTTTTTGTGCATACCGGAGGGGGCTAAAAGTAGATTCAAGTGGGGTAGCCTAAAAGTATTCATCTTGTCCTTTCTTCAAAAGCACACACACACACACACACACTGGCTTTACACAATTGTGGATAAAAGACAGTATACAGCCAAACAGGGACATGTCAATTAAACCCATGGATTAGTCACGTGGTTGTTTTTTTTTACTGACTGCTGTTTTACAGCCTATTTTCAATACATACTTGCTGGTTTTATGATTTGTTTTATGTTGATCATAAAACAGTAAACATATATTGAAACAGACCGTAAAAGAGCAATAGGTAAAAAACCATGCTGCTAAACCATTGCCAGGCCTGGTAGAAAGTGTACGATCCAGCTAGCAAGAAGCACTGTTTTAAATCTCAAAGGGTTGTCAACTTTGGGTTGAGAAATTCCTGAAGATTTGGGAGTGGAGCCTGGGAGGGAGGTGGCTCGGCAGTTCACACTCCAAAGCTGCCCTTTCTTTCAGTGGGTCTGATCTCCGTAATCCTGAGAGAACACCTGAAGCTGCCTTCTACCGAATCAGTCTCCAGGGTCTCAGGCCCCACCTGGAGGTTGGCAAACCTATTAAATGGGAGAGTTAAGCAGATGCTTAAATAGAAGCTGCTGAAATCAGTAGGACTGAAAAGGGCTTGACTTGGGTTGGACTCTGGTCACGGTCAGTGTTCCCTCTAAGATAAGGTAAGCAGTGGGGTACCGCAGGGATCAGTACTTGGTCCACTGCTTTTTAACTTGTTCATTAATGATTTGGAGTTGGGAGTAAGCAGTGAAGTGGCTAAATTTGCAGATAATACGAAGTTGTTCAGGGTGGTGAAAACCAGTGAGGATTGTGAGGCACTCCAAAGGGATCTGTCAAAGACCTTCGGTCCATAAGACGCACTCACTTTTCCTCCCACTTTTTTTGGAAGAAAAAGCGAGTCTTATGGTCCAAAAAATACGGTAATTTATGCAGTAGCCGAATCGCTCGCTCACAACTTTAATGCCAGTGGCTCACAAGTAGAATTGTTGCTCACAAGGCTCCAAAGCTTAGAGGGAACATTGGTCACGATTTTGTCACCCAGCTGAAACTGTGTAAGGACACAGGTGGGTCAATTTGTCTGGAGTGTGGGTGCGAAGGTTGCCAACTCTGGGTTGGAAAATTCCTGCAGATTTAGATTTGGGGGGGTGGAGCAGATCTCAGTGGCTACAGTGCCAGAGTCCCCCTTCCATAGCAGGCATTTTCTCCAGGGGGACTGATTTCTGTAGTCTAAAGGTCAGTCGTGATTCCTTCCAGGAGATATTCGGCTCTCATCTGGAGGCTGGCAACTGGCGTGGTTATCCATTTTGCACAGGGCTGGCTTTGAAATATCCTCGGGATGTGGGAGTGCCGTAGGAGTGAAAGTGGCCCTGGGAGACCTCCGCGGCGGGCTCTTTTTGTAGCAGGAGCTCCTTTGCATATTAGGCCACACACCCCTGATGTAGCCAATCCTGCAAGAGTTTACAGTCCTCCAAGAGCTTACAGTAGCCCCAGTAAGAAGAGCTCTGTAAGCTCTTGGAGGATTGGCTACACTAGGGGTGTGTGGCCTGATATGCAAAGGAGCTCCTGCTACAAAAAGAGCCCTGCGAGGCTCCGCCTAATATATATCGTAATGTCACAGAGTTATTGTAAAGCTTAAATATATAATCCCACTGTCATTTAGGCCATCGTGAGCCAACAATGCCCTTCAGCTCTCTCCTTAGGATAAAAAGTTCCTACGTTAAAGTATGAATGAACATGAATCTGATATTAAAAATCACGATATTCAGAAACTAGTTGGAGAACAT